GATGGCCAGGGGCACTCTGCCAAGGCCGGGTTGTGCATCAACGCCCTCGACAGGCAGTGCCGATGGTCCCACGTTTCACGCGTTGGGGAGTCTGGGTGAACTGCAGGCGAACTGATGCCGTAAGGATCGCTACGTAAGTAACGGTGCCCCTCGCAGGCCCCGAGAGCGCTGCGGGTGCAAGAGGAGGGCCTCACAGACCCGATGGACCTGAGAAACGTCCAGCCCCTTCCGAACCCGACCCGTCCCTTATTCCAGCGTCTTAGCTCTACCTGTAGCTCAGTTCTGCCCTCGCCCCTCGAGAACCGAAGTCTTCCGGACGCCTCCTGGCCCTCTATGAGCCTGCAGGGTTCTCACGGGGGCCTCCAGGGGTCATGATCTTGGGCGGCACCAAATGCTACGGTTGCCTGCCTTGGGATGAGAAGCGTGTACCGGAACGGTTTATGCTGGCGCAAATGTTTATTCTCCCGTGCCTCCACGACAGACTCGATGATCCCCAGACCGTGTGCCAGCGCCCACGTGTGGTGGTCCACCGAGGGTGATACGACGCAGGCAGTGTGCGTGAGGGCCCGGCGCAGGCCTCGCGCCGTCGGCGAAGCCGAACGGGGCACGTGCACGCTGGACGTGCGCAAGTCCTGAGCATCATCGGCATATCCCTGCTGGCCCTCTGGCGCCTGCTGCGCCTGGCCGTCTCGCCGGCCTCCTCGAAGCCGTCCTGCGGCGGGGCGGCACGTGTCAGGCGGGTAGCATTAGCCGAAAGGCTCCCTGCTGCCCAGGCGACAGCGCAGCAGTCCCCCCCCTCCCAGGGTCCTCGCCGACCTCGCGGTGCGCCCCCCCCCCCTCCACCCCCCCAGCAGCTGCCGCGCTGCCCCTGGCGCGCCCCCACCTGCGGCGACCCCCGCCGCCGCATGCAGCAGCCACGCTGCTACCGACGAGCCCGCGCCTGCCGCGCCCGCGCCCGCCCCGACGAGCGCGCCCTAGGGCCGCCCGCGACGACCGCCCCCGCCTCCGCTCCCCACCATTTGCAAGCTCCTCTGCCCGTTTGCTGCTAGTGCTGCCCCCCGCCCTCGTCTCGCCTCCTCCCTGCGCCCAGCCCGGGCACGCAGGCGCGCAGGCGTGCAGATTGTGCCCCTGCATGCCCGGGAGTGGGATTGATGGACCTGTCTTTTGCTATCCTGCTTATTGCTGAGGGCCGCTCTTCGTTCCTCCTCCTCCGCCCCCTCCTCCTGTTCGCATTGCGTTGCGACCTTCCACGCGCCTTCTTCGGCGGCTCCTCGTGTCTGCGGGATGGCCCACGAGCTGTGGGCTTCCTCTGCAGAGGGAAGCGGCGTTTGCATCTTCTAGGGCGTACTGCCGTTGGGCGTTGGCCAGCTTAGCAGCCAGAGCGTGCTCCCCCGGGGGTCAGGGGAGGGGGGGACGCTCGGAAGGTGTTCGGAAGCGCATGGGCGCTCTGGGCGCTCCCCCTGCCTCCGTAGGTCTCGGGGAACCTGCAGGGAGCCCAGGGGGGGGCCACACGGGTGTCAGGAGGCAGGGCGGCACTGCAGTGCTCGGAGGAGGGCCAGTGCAGACACTTCGGGCCCTCCCGAAACGAGGAGGGGGGGGAAGAGGAGGAACGGGTGAGGATGGATAGGGGGCCGCCGATGTCTCATCTTGCCCTGCCCCCCTCCTCCTCATCCTCATCCTCCTCCTCATCCTCCTCCCCTCCTTTTCCCTCTCCTCCTCCTCCTCATGTTCCTCCTCCTCTTCTTCTTCTTCTTCTCCTCCTCCTCATCATCCTCCTCCTCCCCTCCTCCTCCTCCTCCTCCTCCTCCTCTTCCTCCTCCTCCTCCTCCTCCTCCTCCTCCTCCCTCCTCTTCCCTCCTCCTCCCTCCTCTTCCCTTCTCCTCCCTCCTCGGAAGTACCAACGGGCGTGCGGGCGGGGAGGGGGAAGGATTTCTGGCCCCTCCAGGCCCGAGCCGAGGAAGAGGCCGGCTCCGACGTTTCGATGACGGGCGGTGCTCGGCCCGAGCAGTTCCACCAGCGTCTTCATAGTGGGCTCCAGGGTGCACGCGCACATGTGTCGCAAAAGTGTGCGAAGGTTCCGTGGATGAAAGGGCGCGTGGTTTGCAAAATAATGTGGCTCTCGCTGTAGCGCCGCGAACATTCGCTTCCAACACTTGCGTCAGCCCCACGGATGGAGGGCGGCTCCCTTTCAACGCGTGGATCTCGCCTTAATGCCGCGCACATTCGCCTGAGAAGCTTGCAGCAGTTTCGCCGATGGAGGTGTGAGGGGGGCCTTTTCGAAAAGAGGCTTTCGCCTGCGCGCCCTGCGCATCCACCTTACAAGTTGCAACAATTTCACGGATGGCATGCGGTCGTTTCCAAAATGGCACGCCGCCCGCGCCAGGAAGTCTCGCACATTCCTGGTCTCAGCACCGCGCACATTCTTTTTTTCTGTGCGTTCAACAGGATGGGAGACAACTGCTTTTCAGCAAAGAGCTCTTGCTGGACACTTCGGGACATTCAAGGGCCCGAATCTGCAATGCACGTAGCGCTGCACTGATCCATGGCAGCACTTATTCAAAATAGAGGTGTCGCTTGAAACTTCCTCGAAGCTTCTGACGACAAGTGCAACCTTGTGCAACAGTTACACGGATGGGTGTGGGCGGTCCTTCTTCGAGGGGATGATACCGCGGGACACCTCGCTGAAATGCGTGATCACTGCGTGTCCGTGCTCTTGACTACGCGCCAGAACGATGCAAGGCGCTTCCTTTCCACAGTGGGGCCCTCGCCAAAATGGCAGGCCCAACGGAAATGTCTGGCCTTTCGAGCGGGGGCGCTCCTTGTCGTGAAAAGGGGGGCTTTGTAGAAGCGCGTGGGGAGGGGACCTGGGACTGGTGGGTGTGCTGAAGCATCGCTTGTGCATATTTTTGGTGGGCTCTGGCCCTCCTCCCCTTCTCCTCGTCGCTCCCCAGCGCGACAAGAGTGCCCGTGCAGATAGCTGTTTGCGCTCGAAAAGGGGGGCCCCTCGCTCGGCACACTGCTGAGCCGACGCAGCAGCGCCGAGCGACGCAGCAGTGCCAGGGGCTGAGGGCACCCAGCAGATCTGATGTTGAGGGATGGAAAAACGGCCCTACCCTGGATTACAAGTGCGTGGTCTGTAAACCTCCTGGGAACCCCCAGAGCCTAGAGCCGCCAGGACGCGGCACATCACGCAGGGTTTACCCTGTCAGCCCACAGGAGTTTCAGAGCACAGCGCCTCGTAAACCAGGGTAGGGGCGTTTTTTCTGCCCTTGATGATGGGTGCCCTCAGCCCCCGGGGCAAGAGAGAGGTCCTCGCCTGCTGGGACGCAGGCGTGCAAGGATCGACCTAAACAACATGTTTCAATTTCGTATTGTGTTCGTTTTCCCTTGTTCTGCCGTCGTTCCGCCACTGCTGCAAAACGAAATCGGAACCGAAACGGCCCACGGAATCGCAAAACCACCGTTCAGGTCGACCCCTGCAGGAATGCGGGGGCCGCGGGAACGTTCGGAGGGGACCGGCTCAGGGGGAAGCGTCGAGCCTGAATCGGCGATGCATCGCCGATAGATCAGCGACAGGCCCCGAGTGATTAGCGAAGCCGCGCGCTCCTGGGCGGGGTGGGCCAGCGAGCCCCTGCGACCGATTTGGAGTGCCGATCGGTCGCTACCAATCGCGACCGGAAAGATTCGATATCCGATGATCTCGGGGGGGGGGGGTCGGACAGTGTGCGATGCCGAGTGTTGGTGCTGAAGCGTCTTTTCGGGGCCTTCCAGGCCATGGCGCCGCAATCCTCCTCATCCTCTCCTCGTCCTCTTCATCATCGTCATGGTCGTCGGACATTGTGCGATGCTGAATGTTGGCGCTGAAGCGTCTTTTCGTGGCCTTCCGGGCCATGGCGCCAGTCCTCCTCATACTCTCCTTTTATCCTCTTCAATATCGTCATCGTCATCGTCATTGTCGTCGCCATCATCCCCATCTATTCGAACAGCTGCCTCCGAGACTACTGGATGGGCACGGTGGCGGGACTTGCCGCAAGCAGCTGGATACCGAAAGTTCAACTTTCGGTATCCAGCTGGATACCGAAAGGAGACTTTAGCGCCAACTTAGTTGGCGCTAAAGTCTCCTTTCGGCGCCGTCCAGGCCAGAGCCTTTTCTGTGGGCCAGAGCTCGCATTACACGCTCCTCCTCCAGCGATGCTCGAATTACCAGCTCTGAAAGCCGCGGATTCGAATCCAACTCTGCCGCCCTCCTCCGCCCTGTTGCGAACTGTATAGTGGCACTGGTATCACCCTGACGCTACCATCCTCCTCCTCCTCCTCCTCCTCCTTCTCCTCCCTCCTCCTCCTCGTCGTCCCTCCTCCTCGTCGTCCTCCTCCTCGTCTCTCCTCTCCTCTTCCCGCTGGTCGGGCCACGCCCGGACTCGCCCGACGCCTCCCCCAGCACCCCCCCCCGCCGGGGACACACTGCCCAATTGTGGACCTGTGATGTCACTAACGTGTCTTCCTCCTCCTCCTCCTCCTCCTCCTCCTCCTCATCATCATCCTCTTCACTCGCTTCCCTGTGGCATCCCTCCTGGAGGAGGATGGGGAGGAGGAGCGTGCGAGGATGAGGAGGATACGGGAAATAGCCAAGACGAAGGAGGAGGAAGAGGCTGAGAAGGCTGTTCGCGGCGGGTGATCTGCTGGGCGTCATGGCGCCCTGCGGTGCGTACAGTCGGACCTGGACCAGAAGACCATCCCTCAGGAGCATGCGACCCTCTGTCGGCCAGAACACGCAGAACATCTAAGGGCACCGTCCCCCAGGGTGCACAACAAAATCCAACAAACACGAAGAACATTAAGGCACCCTCCCCGAACCAACCATGGGCACCCTCCCCGAACCAACCTTGATCTTATACCTCGGTCCGACTGTACACCTGGGCCGGCGCTAGGCCGAAGGAGGATGAGAAGGAGGCAGTGCTGGCCGAGATGCGCAGGTATTGTGCCGGTGCGGAGTCGAAGGCTCACGTGAGCTCGCTCACCACCAGCGGCGCTGCGAGGACAGTGGCCGCCACGCAGTACCACTGGAACGCCGCGAGTGGGTGGTAGCACGTGTAGGCCACGGCGACGATGAGCGCATGTGCTGCGAGCGTGACAACCACGGTCAGGAGAGTGAGGTTGACGCTCGCGCCGACCACGCCCAGAGAGCCCACCACCGCCCCCTGCAGAGACCCCGTGATCATGCCGACGCCCCAGAACATGATGCACGACCCGAGCAGACGGAAGTTCCAGACGCGGCACGGGTTCCGCCGGACGACATTCTCGAAGGCCCTCTCCTTGGGATCCAGCTGGTCCGATATGTGGAAGATCTCCTCGGTGATGACCTCCTCCTTGCAGCAGTGCGCGATCGCGTTGCAGGTGCAGCAGCAGCACGAGGCAACGCCGCCAGTGCAGCAGCAGGAGGCCTCGCGCTTCAGGTCCTTGAACGGCCTGTCGCCCTCTTCGATGAGCTTCTGGCGCTCGCTGTCCCCTGGCTCAGATGTCACAGCAACACGCGACCACCTCGTTGGCCAGGGCCGTCCTCCCTCCTTGGCCCCAACAGGATGTGCAAAATCTCCTGGCCTGAACCAGATTGGGCGCGAATGAATCGGGGGGCGACACTGGGAGGCCTCCCCCACCCTCATGCATCGCCCCTTCATCACGCGGCCTCCAACAGGAACGCCGATGCACCATCCAGGGGCCTATGGGATAGCCGTGGCCAGTGTGATCGGCGTGTGTTGCCGCCTTCTGTGAACCTGGCTCCCACAGTACGCGTGAGATGGGGCGGTAGGGCACGAAACTATCGCAGCTGTCCCTCTCTGGCGGCGCGCACCGGGGGGGTGGGGGAAGGGGAAATGCTTCTCAGAAGGGGGCTGCTTCTAAGAAGGGGCGGCTCTGCATCTTTGGATGAGGCCCGCGCCTTCTAAGAAGCAGGGGTGCCTCCAAGAAGCCCCCCTCTCCTCCCAACCCCCCTCTGCGCGTGGCCGACCTCTGGCACTGCACTCCCACAACCGTTGCGTCGGTCTCGGGCACGTACATGAACCGCACGCGGACGTCTCCGACCTGGTGCTCCGTGTAGGGCCGCGGGCCGCTCCGGGCCGTCCCCGGCCCCGCGCTTGGACGCGCGTAGTAGTAGCCGTCCTGGCGGTCCGCGAAGAAGACGAGCTTGCTGGTCAGGTGCGCGGTGAGCTTGTCGGGCAGGTGCGGCATCGCCGGCTCGAACCTGTGCATGTGCTTGACCATGTCCTGGGTGGGGGGGGGCGAGAAGGCACCCGGACCGCTGCTCCCCGGACCTCTCCTGGGGTGTGTTCTGACCAGAAGTTCGAGGCGCATCAAGCGGTGGTGACGAGGGCCTCCCAGTAGGCCCAAAAAGGTGAACACGAGGCAAGGGTGGCTTTTCCTTCCTTGAGTCCTCGGTCAGCACGAAGCCCCCGAGCTGGATACGGGGGCACGCCTGGGTGGTGGTGCCCAGGGCGAGACCGGCGGGCAAGCGTGGGTTCTCCGGGCTAGGCCCCTTGAATGACCGCGTGTCGACGTGGACCGTCGTCCACTCCTGTAGAAGAGAAAAAACTGGATAACCATACATTTTCGGAGGTCCGCGCGGGTTTCTCGAATCGGCACTGGTTCCCACCAAGCACGCGGAGATCGCCAGGGGCGGCGCTAGAGGCACCGCCAGGGGGCCCTGGCGCCGATCCAAGAAATCCGCGCGGAGCTCCGGAAATTTATGTTTGAGCCGCTTCTTCTTCTTCTTCTTCTTTTTTCTTCTTCTTCTTCTTCTTCTTCTTCTTCTTCTTTCTCTCCGACTCCTGCTGAAAGCGGGGCTGGCTCTTCCGGTTCGGGCCCTCCATCCACGTCTTGACGCGCTGGGTCCACTCGTACACCTCCACGGTGCTCTGCAGCTTCAGTGCGCCTTTGACCCCAACGTCTGGGAACTGGCGGTCGGAGAAAGGCACTACGCCCTTCGCCTCGGAGGGTGACCAACATGTACCAGTACCGCTACTCCGCTACGGTATGTTCGTGTCGTGACGACCCTGGTGTTGAGTTCTGACACCGCGTGGATCGTTCAACCTTGGACGAACGGCGGCGTTCCGATCGCCAGGTCGTTCCATATTGGCCGATTCTGGGCAGATGGCGGCGTTCAACACGGTGCGAGTATGCCGTACTCTCGGAGTGCGATCTGCGCGGAACGCCAAAAGTTTATGTTTATGAGTTTTTTCTTCTTCGAAGAATATCAAGGCGAATCCACCGTGGCGACAAGGGATCTCCAGGACGAGCAGCGGCACTGGGCATCTCTTCCTCCCCATGGCCGCCTTGCCCTGCACGTGCACCAGGCGGCCACGGTCGCTCTCCTTCGGCTCGTCGCCGCTTAGGCTGACGCACTGGCTGCGCCCGTGCACAAGCAGCGTGTTGAGCCGGGCACTGCGCTCCTCTGGAAGAACAAACCCAGACCTCGGGCGTTTCGAACAAATCGGGACGGATGTATTTTTCGTCGTCTTCGGCCTCCACAGGCCCTCGCTGGGCCTCGGGACCGTCAAAAAACGACTCGGGACGAAAAACCAATCCCCGGGAAGTGGTCGGGACCCTGCTCATTGGATACTGGAATTTTCCAGTCGCGACCGACGAGATCGACCGCTGCCTTTTTTTGCTTCCGATTTCGGTATCGGTCGCGACCGAGCTGCTTCAGAATCGGTCGCGACCGATCGCTCGCGAACGATCAGTCGCGATCGGTGGCGAGCGGTCGCGACCGATTGGGGGATCGGTCGCGATCTGTCGCGACCAATCTGGAGTGCCGATCGGTCGCTACCGATCGCGACCGAACAAGAGTCGAGTCGACACCCAAGGATCTGGGGCGGTCGTGGGCCCGTGTCTCCACAGAAGCGAGACGTCGGATGTCTGGGGAAAGGGTCGGCATATCACGCGCGGACTTCTCCTGGCCCGGCGCTGAGAGCCCCCCCCCCCCGTCCCCCCGTGGCGCGCGGAGCGCGCCGAGGGGCGGCGGTGCGCAGGTGCCGCCAGGGGCAGGTCCAGCGCCGATCCGAGAACTCCGCGCGGGCCCTGGGGAAATCCCACCAGCCCTCTGGGCGTAGGTGGTCTGAAAGAGGTCCTTCCTCTTCCAGAGAAAACCCTCCTCCCTCCGGGGGAGGGTATCCTCCACCTCTCCTCCCTGGACTTTTTCGGCGGCGGTCGCGAGGTGTCAGGGGGTCCGTTTTCGCTCGGGATGGCTCCAAGAAGGCCTCCGATGTTCCAACATGGCCTCCAAGATGGCTCGGGCCAGCCGAAGATGGTTCAAGACAGCTTCCGACATGCCTCCAAAAAACCCCAAGTGGGCCACAAGACGGTTCCAGGTGCTCTTGGGGCCCCCACTGGACCCCTCCAAGAGCCGAGAATCCCGCAAAACCACAAGGCAACTTGATGTATGTTTCCTACTCACCGTTTCTCACCCGATGCGCGCTTGAGGCCTCAAGCTTCCCTCAAGACGGCTCCAAAAAAGGCTCCAAGAACCCCAGGAAGTCGCCACATCGGCCCCGAGAGCGCCCAAGATCGCTCCAAGAGCGCCCCTAGAGGGCTCCAAGAAGCGGTTGAAGGCCCCAAGGGGGGGGGGGGGATAGATCGGGACCTCCCCTCCTTCGATCGATCGCCTCGAAGATGGACCCACGAGGCGTTCCAGGGCCCCCCAAGAGAGCCCCAAGAGAGCCCCCAGAGGTCTCCGAGAGGGTCCAAAGATGGTATCACGACGGCCCCAAGAGGGCCCCCCAAGACCCCCCAAAGAGCCCGAATATAACTCCAATATGCGATTTTGAAGTCTCCTGAAGGGGGGGGGGGGGGGAGGGGGCGACATCGAGGACCCCTCCTCATTTGACCGATGCTCTCCAAAATGTCCCCAAGAATGGGCCTCCGAGAAGCTCCAAAGAGGCGCCTAAGAAACGCCACGGGTTCTCTGCTACCCCACTTCGCTGATCAGGCCAACTCGTCCGGGCGGCGTCTCTGGATGGGCTGGTAGTTGTTTTGTTCGCGAGCGCAAGCGGAAGGGCCGCACGCCGTCCAAAGCTACAGCTAACAAGCAGGAGCCTAAATTGCACAAGAGAGAGAGAGAGAGAGAGAGAGAGAGAGAGAGAGAGAGAGAAAGAGACAGAGAAAGAAAGAAAGAGGAAAAGAGAAACAACAAAAAAACAGCGGGAGGTGAGACTAGCCGGGGCGGGCCGCGCGGCGCTCACAGAGGGGGTTGCCATCGGCAGCTAGCAATCGCCGGAGGTGCACGCCAAAGTGGCGGGCTGCAGTGGAGGCCAATCCACACGAAGCCTCCCACTACAAACCTAAACCTGAGACCCCAGGACGTCCATGGATTCTTGGTGTGGGAACGTCACGCTTTCCATCGCAAAACCATCGAAACCCAAGAAACCCAAGGCAGTGTGGAGACAAGAAGGGTGTTTCTTCGCATGGTCCCCCACGGTATGCATTTGTTCTGCGATCCTCGTTGAACCAGTGGACGGGCACGGCGATGGCCACGAACAGGAGGCCGAACACGATCTTGGCGACACCCGACGCCGCGGCCTCCACGGTGTCCTCGACCGTTGAGCCCTGTCGGGCCGCCCGGGCGGACGTGTTCACGCCCGCGGCCAGCTGCACGACCTGGGCCCTGTCGGGCAGGGCTCCCGGCAGTGGGTCGAAGACGTCGACGACGAAGTCCACCACCTCACCCACTCCCTGGTCGCCTGGGCGGGCCATCGACACTTGGCACGGGGCCGGCCAGCCAGCCGAGGAGCTCCGCGGATTGATGCCAACAGCCGCTCGAGCGGTGGGACCGCTGGAGAAGCCCTGCGCCACAAGTTGGCAAGAGGAAAGCGGGTCCGCAGGGAAACAAGTCCTGGACCCCAGTGGCTTTCCCCACGAGGGGCCGTCTTTGACGGTCCTGGGGCCCTGGAGGGCGCAGGAATCCAAAACGGTAAGCAACGCTGGACCCGTCTCCCTCAAGGCCCGCCCCCTTCGTGGCAAAAAATACCTGCGCCAGATCCCTTGCTCGGCCGGGCGGTGTGGTGCATATCCTTCGATCCCCTTCGGCCGCCTTCGCCGGTCCGGTTGCTCTTGTCATCGGCGTTGAGCGAGGCGGCCTGCTCTGACACGGCGGTGCACAGACAACACTCGGGGATGGACAGACCCCCCTTTAGTAAAACGTGGTTTAGTGAAAACGACCTGAGGCCCAAACCTGGCAGGCGCAAGCCTGGAAAATAACGGCCACGGCGCCCTCTCGAGAACCGAAAACGGACAATTCACTAATCGACGTGTCGCTGTTGGGGGTTATGTCCACCCCCGAAACACCCTGGACCCCGCGGGGCTCTCCCCCCCGTAGGGCCCGCTCTGCAGCCCGACTCGTCCCGCTGACGGCCCCCAGGGATGCGGGGGGAAACCAAGAGGTACCGACACCGCTGCTCCCGGGAAGCGTTCTGACCCGGGGCCTCCCAGGAGGCCCCCCAAAGGGCCTCCCGGGAGGCCACAAAAAAAAGGAAAAAAACGAGCGAAGGGTGGAGGTATGGGTGCCTTCTCTTCCTCCTCTGAGAGAGGGGCCCGAGAGAGTTCCGACGGCGGAGCAAGAACACTTGCAGGACCCCTTGCCCAGGCACCCAGTGCACAGTCGACATCTACAGTGAAGACGGGCGGTAAGGACGCAAGGGCCTTAGACGCCCAGGCTGGCTCTTCTGGGCGGCGAGTTGCCAGCGCCCGAAGGGCTGAGGCAAGGATCCAGACCCCCGACGTCATGATTTTTTCATTACGTCGACCCCTGGAGGTCTCGACCCACTCCCCTGGACGGGTTTTTCATCCTGAATCGGTTTTTGACGGTTCCGAGGGCCGGTGAGAGCCTCCAGTGGCCGAACATAGCAAAAAACCTCCCGTCATGATTTGTTCAGTACCCGAGGGGGTCTGGGGACGAAAGTGCACCCTGAGGACATCCGTGCGTCCTTGCTTTCAGCTTCGACTGCATGCTTCTGTTTCGGAGTGCCCCTCAGCACTCCCGAACCCTCTCCCCAAGCTCGGCTTCACCCTGAATGTGCTGCTGACGGCCCCGGGAGAGCCCACCGGGAGCCCCCAGAGAGGTCGAGCACAACGCAAACGAGACGAGGCAAGCACAGGAGTACAGACTCGGACAGGGATAAAAAATCTGGGATCTCTGTGATCCGGCGGCTCTGGAGGACGTATGGGGCGCTGCGGCCCTCTTCAGAGCGTTCTGGCACGCACCGAGAGCGTTCCAGAACGCTCTGGGACGCCCTATTCCTGCTGTCGCAGCCCCGCCCGAGAAGAAAACTTCCGCCCCGATGTTGTTGGCTCCTCCCAGTTTTTGTCGTGTATATATACACACATACAGATCCAGATATATTCTGTTTACTAGGAAAGAATATCGGACAACATCGGCTGCCAGGGCTTCGCTCCAGGGGGGCCCTTTGCTTTCCGCGGCGGCCTGCTGCTGCTTCGCGAGCCGCGCGTCCGCGGCCAGGAGGGCCGCGAGGGCGCCCACCGCCACCACGGCGGCCCGCATCGCGAGCAAGGCCTCTCGACTGAGGAGCAGACAAAAGGTCGGGCGTTGGCAGAGCTGGGTGAAGTGGGACCTGGTTCAGTGATGTGTGCTGGGTGACCCCCCCCCCGCCCCGTTCCACTAACCGGAACTGCCGTCACCCGAAAAAGCACCGGCTACGGCAGACCTGGTTTTCAGTGATTCTGGACAATTGAGGGGCTCGGGGGCCCTACTACTAACCGGGTCCTATCTGGGGTCCTGGCTATGACCGACTCTCGATAGAAGAGCAAACAAAGACATACAAACATACACTTTTGACGCTCCGCGCGAATTTCTTGGATCTGCGCTGGACCACCCTGTCCCTGGCGCGCGGAGCGCGCCAGGGGCCGGAGGGGCCGCCTGGGGAGTCCCAGCGCGGATCCACGAAACCCGCGCGAGGCGCCGCAGGTGTATGTTGATGGCGTGGCGTTTCCTTTCTTTCCTCCGAAGGATATCGAGGAGAATCCAGCCGTGGCGGCGAGGGATCTCCAGCACGAGCAGCGGCACTTGGCATGTTGATGCCGTTCTGTTCTTCATCGACTCGCGGGGCGAAAGTCTGCCCACATCCACCGCCTGCGGAGCCGGCGCCCTGGGGCCCCCGCGGGCGGTGGCTGTGCACAGGTCTAGGAGGAACAAGAGCGGCATGAGCATGCGGCAGGTTCGTGTCGTGACGACTTCGGCCTTGGATCGTGACACCGCGGGGAACGTTCAATCTTTCAGGGGGACGTAAGACCTGGGTACAGGGGAATCGGAAATCCCCGACGAGGTCGTCAAAAAAATGACGAGGCCGAGCCTGCATTTTGACGAGGCCTCCCGCTGCAGACATCCCACGAAACTCCTCCTCGTCAAAATCCGAGGCGCGGTCGTCAAAAAACGATGGCGAACCCGAGTCCTGGCAAACCCGGGTCTTACGCTCCCCCGAATCTTGAACGATCGGCCGCTTCCGAGACGTCAGATCGTTCAACATCGACCGATTCTGGGTCGCCGACGGCGTTCAACGTTGAACGCCGGCGGCGGGGTCGCCGCCAATCGACACGACACGAACCTACCGTAAACTGTCGAAGGTCGGCGCGGACTTCTTGGATCTGCGCTCGGCTCCCCTGGCGGCGCCTCTGGCGCCGCCCCCAACGCACCTCGCGCGCCAACGAGGCGGGGCCGAAACCCGCGCGGACCTCCGACAATGTTTGTTGTATGCCGTGTCTTTTTCGGATCCTCGGGCCCAAATCTTCACCGGCGAAAAACGGTATGACATAAACTCTTTCGCATTCGGGGGCGCCTGTCCCGGTGCGGCTGGAAAGGTTATACTCTTCCGGTGGCCACGTCGGGGCATAATCTTTCCAGCCGCCCAGGGGCAGGCGCCCCTGGCGACGAAACACACTATGTTATACCTTACTTCGCCCGCTAAAAATCTACAGCCTGCCGCGGTCCCCGAAGATCGATGCCCCAGGCGGTAGTTACAGTTGACTCCCGCCTCGGACCTCTGGCCACCAGGGGCCTCCCGCCGGGGCGAAGGACCACGGCGGGGGCTGGTTAGCGCAGCGCCGGCCCGAAGTCCGCTATACGGATGAATGGATATAGGTTCGGTCCGCCCTCCGCCAAGGGGCCCTCGTCAGGCTCCCGCGGGTGCGCACCATGCCTGAGCCAACCAGGCTGATGACTTGGCACGTGGCGGAAGGGGTCCCGAGAGAAGCGGGTCGTGGAGGCCCTTCGCCCCCGGCAGCTCTTTTCCACAGCCAGCGCTCGCACGGGGGGAATCCTCGCGGAGTATGTGCGAATTTGGCGAATTTGTTTGCACAATTTCGAAGGGCAGCCGGGCTCGCGCGTTCCGCGTTCCAGATCCAGGGTCCCCAAGCTTGTATCGGCTACGCGCAAGAGTGGCCCCGGGTAGGAGTGACCTTTGGTGTGCGGCTTTTGGGGGCCGCGGGGGTGCCGAACACAAGCGCGCCAGACGCAACTATCGCGTCGCAATCGGCGATCGGGAGAGCACAATGGGCCCGCACCAGAGGTCACTCCGGCGAAGGGTCACTCTTACGTCTAATCGATTGTACGCCCTGGGTGCCATGTCCTGGCTTCCCGGTTCCACGGTCGAGGCTTGGTGGACGTGTGCCAGACTTCGGCGGGCGGCCGGGCTCCCTGGTATTCACACTTTGGGGGCCTCCGTGTCCTGGGCTCCCAGAGTATGAAGAGAGCAAGAAGAAGAGATAGAGATATGTACATTCCACATATATATGCACATACCTAAACACATGCATACACACATACATACATACCTACCTACCTACCTACCTACCTACCTACCTACATACATACATACATACAGACAGACATACATACATACATACATACATCCATATATATCTACATACACATACATACATACATCCATACATACCTACATACATACATACATACATGCATGCATACATACATGCATACAAACATACAACTAGACATACATACATGCATACATGCATGCATGCATGCATACATACATACATCAATCCATCCATCCATCCGTCCATCCATCCATCCATACGTACATCCATCCATCCATACGTACATACATACATGCATACATACATGCACACATGCACACATACACACATACATACATACATTCATACATGCATGCATGCATGCATGCATACATACATACATACATACATACATACATACATATGTACATACATACATACATGAATGCATACATACATACATACATACATACATACATACATACACATACATGCATACATACATACATACATACATACATACATACATACATACATACACACACACATACATACATACATACACACATACATACACACATATATACATACATACATGCATGCATACATACATACATACATACATACATAGATACATGCATGCATGCATGCATGCATGCATACATACATACATACATCTAGATCCCCCCCCCCGAAGAGTGCTTGCACTTAGGGGTTCTCATTCCTCTTCTAAGGAACTGGGCATGCCTGGCGGTCTGGCGGCTATGTTGCCGCCATCGCCACCCCGTCGCCGTCTTGTCGCCGCCCGTAGTCTGCGCATGTCTGGCGGTCTGGCGGCTATGTTGCCCCGTCGCAGCCCCGTCGCCACCACCTAAGTTGCCCCACATAGATTGCACCACATATAATGCACAGCATACGTTCCACTATATATGCATAGTGCACAACATGGATCGCACATCACATTTTGTACAACACTGATTGTACCACCAAGATTGCACAACATAGATTGCACCGCATGTATTGCACCGGTACGTGTCTATATATAATGTCCCACATAGATGTCACCACACACACACATATATATATATATTGCTCCACATCGACATCACAACATACATTGCTAGAACCATACTGTTTGGAGCCCACGGTGGCTAGCCTATGTATAAAGGGGGGACACAAACAACAAGAGAGAGGGATAGAGAGAGCGAGAAAGGGAGTGTGAGAGAGAGATATTATCGACAAGACCATCGCGAGTTGTATTATATACTCGAGAATGCACAATGAGGCACGGCACGCAGAACTATAACAAATCAAGGCAACATGCTACATAGTGAAAAGAAGATAGTGGAGGTCAGAGGACGGAGGGTGGTAGGTATATCCCATATCCCGTGCGAGCAGCCGAAAGGGTTTTCCATGGTGTGATCACTCGCATGCCCCAAGGCCGAAAGCGGCATAGAACCTCAGGATCCCTTCCTTCGAATACGATTGTTTCCCTGTCGGCGAATCCGCCTTCGTGCCTCCGGGAGCAAGGAGCGAGCGTGTCCTCAGGTCCTTTGCCTTCTCCCTGGGGCTCCAGTCTAGGGCTCGAGCTAAACAGTGCTCTTCGTTTCGTTTTGCTGTTGTTTTCCCTCGTTTTGTCTTCAATCCGCCTCTGCCACAAAACAAAGTCGAAACGAAAACGGCCCACGAAATCGCCAAAACACTGTTTAGGTCAACCCCTGCCCCCGTCCTCAGTCCTAAAGAATCTTTAGAAAGGCCAGACCCAACATTCCGAAATCTCCAGGGGCTTGGCGCGCGACCCCTGGGGTTCCCGGCGTCCTGTCGCACAACTTTTTCGGGCCCGAGAGGGCCTCCGGACAGGACACGAGTGTCCCCAAGGGCCCTCAAGACGGTCAAAGATGGCCCCGAGACGCCCAATGATCGTTCCAAGACGTCCACGACCGCAACAAGACGGCCCAAGAGGCTGCCAAAACGCCCCAACAGACCTCCCAAGACGCCGCCCAAGAGAGTACCGAGAGGCAAAAATCATTGATCTCCCCAAAATATTTGACGAATTCTGGCCTTCTCGCTTGTTCGGCTTCTCGACGCTCCAGCACGGCCCAAGAAGCCCTTAAGACCGCCTCAAGTGGCCCACGAGGCCCCCAAGAGGGCCCCAAGACGCCCAAGACGGCCAAGAGAGGAAACACGAACCGAAAATCCGAGCCTTCCGCCCCAACCCCAGGATGTCACAAGAGGCGACCGGAAATTAGGCCTCACGAGGCCCCTAAGAGGCCCGCAAGAGGCTTGAAGATGCCCCCAAGAGGCCCCAAAAAGGCACTAAGAGGCCCCCAAACGGCCCCTAAGATGCCTCCAGACTGCCTCTAAGATGCCCCCGAGAGGCCTCCCTCGAGATCCCAACGAACAGTCCGTAGGCTTCATACCCACAGCCCAGGCACTGTGGCGCGATTGGCCGAATGCCATTCGACTGCATGGGCGTGGCATCTTGCGAGTTCAGTTCTGGGAAGCACTCTCCTCATAACCCCCCTCCTGCAACTCATCCTCATCCCCCGTATCATACTGCCCCTCCTCCCCCACTTTCTTGGCGTTCTAAATTCCTGGGCCTATCGGCTGACGACGTTGACCCTGGAGTTCTGGCCACGGTGGGTCAGAAATAGAGGGGGCCCGAGCGTGGTAATAGACAGACCAGGGCCCACACATGTCAGAAAAATCGACCAACGCGTGGGGACAATGAGAAATGAGCAATCGAATGCACGGTCAAATGGACATTGTCAGATCGTCACCGGCCCGGCTGCTGCCTTCGCCATCATCGCACTACGGCGCACATGCTGGTGCACCTGATTGCCGTGGTCAATGTTCCCAAGCTTAGTCGACATCGGTTTACGGAGCATTCATGTGCGGGATCCGTGTTTAGAGGCCTCCTAGACTTAGATGGGGTCGGAATAGATGGGGTTGGAGGATCGCGCCGCATCGGCGATACATCGCCGATGCATCGGCGATGCATTAACGATGCACCGGCGATGCTTCGGCGACGTCAATGATGAATCCGCGACGTCCGCGTGAAGGAAATCGGGCTCGGCATCGAGCCGCATCGGCGATGCGTCGGCGATGCGGCGCGATCCTCCGACCCCCATCTGCTCGGACCCCATCGGGGAGGCCCAGACTGGTGCACCTGATCGCCGTTGTCGATTTCCCCCGGCTGAGTCGACATCGGTTTAGGGTTAGGTCGGGCATGTCCCCCCACAAGCCGATTTTAGACGAAAAATAATTCAATAATCAAAAAATGCTCCAATCTATCAAAAAAATGCTTTAAAAATCGTCCCCTGACTATTTTTGGACTATTTTGGAACACTCCTCCTGTAGAGGGACACGCCCGACTGAAGTCTAGGGAGCATCCACTAGCGGGACCCGTCGCTGCGTGGGCAAAGGCCGCCACTCCGCGCGAGCCACGGCAGGGCCTGGCCGTCCAGATTGGGGCGAAGAGCCGGGGCGAGGCCGTGGCCTCTTGGTGCTGCACCTGCGCGCGCCCTCTCCTGCGGCGCCGCTTCACCAGGGAAGCGCCTAGAGATGCTAGTACTGTACGTCCTCCCTGGAGGCTCGCGTCCGACACGAGCATATAGTATACCCATCTTGTACCAGATCGTTTCCCGAGCGGTGTGGCCAGAAAGCGTCCGCCACGACGCACATA